ACACACTCACACACACACACACTCACACACACACACACACTCACACACACACACTCACACACACACGCACACACACACACGCATACAAACGACTTCGCTCACTACTACGCGTTCTGGAGTATCGCTGATTCAAATGCACAGTAAATTCGCTCTCAAACTGCCGTATTTTATTCACCAACAAGCTTTTTAATGAATTACCTTATCACAAGGTTTAACACATGAAACAGAAGCAGTGCTCCGTGCCGTTTGTTGTGCCTCTATAATTGTAAAGAACGAATCTGATGAAGCCTTTTCATGTGAACTGTATTCTGAAGATATCGAATGTGATTTCAATTTTAATGAGTTCTCCAGACGCGTTTCTGGTCCTGAAAAAGCTGTCACGTGAATTACCGAAACACCTGGTTCGCTTTTTTTTGAACAAAAGCTTCTGCGAAAAGTAATCGACATCGTTTTGCGGCAGTACGCTAAAGGACACAGACAAGCATCAGTAACCTATGACAATCAGCTCTTCGTTTTCCGAAATTTGAATAAAACCCCCATATTTAGGCAGATCGGACAATAAATTAATGCTAGTCACAACAGTAATCCGTGATAACAAATCCATTTTTGACAGGTTTGTTAACGACACATGAATTAACCTATCTGTCAGTACTGATCATTGGTCTGAATCGACTGTCTTTCATGACAAGAGGCTGTGAGTAAGAATCCTTAGTTTGATGTGATAAGTTGCTCATGATTCGGCCAATAATTACAGTCCGCACTCCAACATCTCATAAAAGGCCGGCTACAGTCTAATATTTAACACCAGTAATAATACCAGACAGTTGCTGACTGAGACATGATGACAGATCGATTCCCTTTGGCGACAACATCGACTGTTCGTAGGCCATTTTCGTACGGTAATGCAAATGTACCGAAACGGAACCATGCTTTGCAATAGCCTTACCAAGCGCAAATGATTTTTGGCCCTCACCAAGATCGATATTAGCAGCTCCTTCATAAACCTGGAAATGAGAAACAGTGTTTTAAGATATAGGACAATAAGGCGAATGTGCAGCTATCACGGTTTTTCAGCAAAGGTAAAACTAAAATACTCACTCAAGAGAAATGCCAGTGAGCAAAAAGGAAGCTAGGATTAATAGTATCCTGAAGCACAAAAAACCGCAATTCTATCAATGCAGTATGCAATAAACAGTGGCGCGCAGCAAGGTACCCGGTGCGATCATGCGTTTTGCGCAGTCCCATCGAACGGACGTTTGCTTACTACAAATATAACTTCTTTACATTTGCGTACGGGGAAAAATAGATATTTTGTCTGACTCCTAAGGTGAGGAATTTCCCACTGAAAATTTCACCTACCGGTACATGAAAGCTGAATTTGAAAACATGGATGGGGAACATCCTTCCAAATTTCAACCTTATTTTTGTGGTTTCCTAGCCAATGATTTTTACATCAAAATTCTCACGTGGTCGTACGTAAGACCGCTGCACAACTGGGAGCTAAACTTGAGTTTATGAGATATATGCACAGGCAGAAAACTTCCTCCTGAAATTTCAGCCTCACAGCTCTTCTGGTTCTCGAGATAATAATTTTCACCACCAAACTTTCGCGGAGCCGCACACGAGACCCATGCGCACATGAAAGCTGAATTTAATTCTGTAAGGTCGCATTCTCCCAAAAACTCAGCTGTCCTTTACGGCTTCCGAGATAGTTTCCTGTCGAAACTTTCAGGGAGCATAACTGAGACCCAAGCTTGACTGAAAACTGATTTCGAATTTACGTGGTTCATAGACGAATCCAGGGGAGGGGAACAGTAGCGAAGGGTCTTTCGCCCTCCCAGTGGCACAGGCACCAGTGCTGCAAAAGCTTGGGTTTGCTTATAAAGTAACTCTAAATAGCAGTGTTACAACTCCATTCCTAGTTATTGCATAGTTCCAGGGTGAGAGGAGGCTCACCCTTCCCCCACCTCTCGTCGTTTCTCACCAAAGGCCTACTCTCCTCCCACCCCTCGCCTCTCCCCCCTCCCCAAGAACACCACTCTTCCTCCATCCTCGCCAGAAGTCCGCCCTGGATCCGCTTGTGGCAAGGTTGCACGTAGGAAAGAAACATTCAAATTTCAGCTTCCTCGCCTTCATGGTTTCCGAGACAATTTTTCCGTCAAAATTTTACGGGGTCGTTCGTGTTACCCGCGGGCACGAGAAGGTTGAATTTAAATTTCCTGGGTCGCACGTAGACAGCGGACATACCCACAAAATTTTAGTTTCCTAACTTTCATGAACCCCGAGACAGTGACTTTACCCACCAAAACTTTTACGAGGCCGTACGTGTTGCCGCGGGTACAGGAAGGCCGAATTTAAATTTACAGGATCACACGTTCACGGGACCAATCTACTAAAATTTCAGTCGCCTAGCTTTTGTGGTTCCCGAGTTGAAAGTTGCGGACAAGTTGCTGCGGACACACCCACACACACACACAAAGTGGAAATATGCGTGTTGTGCTGCTACTGCACAGCGCAAAACGCATAAAAACAGCTGAAACAATGAAAAAGGTTGTTATCACAGACGCAAGCATATTTAACACTCCATCTACAAATGGACACCGGACAATATACCCGATTGACGACGGCCTTACTTTAATGCTTGTTGCTCTCAGAGAGCAATACTCCAGTAGCTCCTCGAAGTGTAATATGCTCTTACAAATGCCGCAAATCTCATCAACGCACCTTACAGTAAATAGCCTATTTTTATAACGAATGAGGCAGGTAAACCCCCATGCTAAACGCACTAAAACTACCGAATCAGACAGAAATATCTTGAAGTGCTGCAAAAGAGGGAAATGGAAAATACAAACACGCAAATACATACACACACAATACAGACAAACGTACGCGAGCGCACATACACAGAGACGTACAAATATAAAACACACAAAAGATGCGAAGCATTTCCGCAAGTCGCAATTAGCGATTTTTGAGCTTCTGTTGCTCCAGTAATCCCCATACAGATACGGATGAGCTCGTATTTTGGTTCTACCATTGCAGATGGTTGCACTACTTCCGATAACGCATTTTGCTCTCGCAGTGCCATGGAACAATAAAGGCAGACAAGTCAGAGCCTGATGTATTTCGACTTTGCTACTTTCAGTTTTTCATATTTCCGGCACAGCAAAATTATAAGTAAAACGGGATAATGATATACCCGATAAGTAACGACGTAGGTGCTATCCGACTGACTTCGCACATAATAACGAAAGGCAGGAGTGACGCGTGCCGCGGATAGCGCTGATTTCAGAAGCATGCCCAAATCCATGCAAGGAAGCGTCTCGAACTCGTTGTCGTCAGGCGCACTGTTGTACAGCACACTGACACGCCTTTAATTCAATGTTCTGACAAATCATATAAGATCACAGTAAGAAGTGGTGCAGCTCAGCAGTGGAGGGCATTCGGGCTGCAGACCTGATCCACAGGCAACCACCAAGATGCAAGATCGGGAATGCCAGATGCAGCAACTGCGCAAGAGGCCAGTTGCACGGACATCAGCACGCAGTGAGGGCACTCCGGTTAGGCTGCTGCATCCAGTGTCCGGATGGAACTTGAGGGTCCAAGCTCGTCCCGATGTGGCAAAATGCTTCACCACTTTACCCCATCTCTTTGCAAAGTGAACGCTAACTGCACCTGCAACTTCACACAGCGCCTTTCGTCGAGGGTAATGATGACGAAGAGCACTTGCAGAGAACTGCCTAAAAGATGAAAGAACAAACCATGATTCAAGTGGTAGATCGTAGCCGTCCACTGTATGCAGCAAAAAGTCCACATTGAGCTGCTCCGGTAGTACTGGATAACTAAAACAGGCCCATCTATATATCATGCAGATAGACAAGCAGCCAGCATAGCGCCACCACAGATGCGCATCAAACTGTCGAATGTCCCCCTTCCCCTCACTCCCTCCAAATGACAGGCTTTTTGAGAACCCAGGTTGGGAACGCACCAGGCAGGCCGATGCGATTATGCGTTTTTGCACTTTTCGCGCCGTAGCAAGATCGCAACAAATCAGAGTAGCTAACCCTGTGACATACTGGCCCTCGAAGTTCGGGAAGTTAATTGCGCGAATGTGTGGTATGTCAGTTGTAGATGTCGACTTCAGTGACTCGACAAATGGAAAGATGCCGGTCCGCGAAAAAGGCCGCACTAGAAGAGTTAAATTTGAAATCTTTTAGTCGCATATGAGTAGGGAACTATTCCCTTAAAATTAAGGCCTTCAGCTTTTCCCGTTTCCGAGTTAGCAGTTTTCCCACCAAAATTTTCACGTGTCCGTACGTGAGTACCGGATAGTTTTAAGGAGCTGAATTTAAAATCTTTTGGTCATACATGAGAAGAGAATATCCCCCCAAAGTTTCAGCCTTCTAGCTTTTCTCGCTCCCGGCTTAGTGATTTCCGCGCCGAAATTTCCACACGCTCGTTCGTGGACCCTGGGCTTTTCTAAACACCTGATTTTGGTCGTACATGAGTAGGAAACATCCCCCTAAAATTTCAGCTTTCTAGCTTCCCCCGTTCCCGCGCTAGTAATTTTCGCGCAAAAATCTTCACGTGCCCGTACGTGAACATCGGGCAATCCTAAGGAGCTGAGTTCGAAAACTTTTGGTCGTGAGTGAGTAGGGAACGTTCCTCCAAAGTTCCAACTTTCTAGCTTTTCTCATTCTCGAGTTATAAATTTTTAAGCTATAATTTTCACGTGCCCGTACGTAAGCCCCGGGCACTCCTGGGCAGCTGAATTTGAAATCTTTTTATCATACATGGGTAGGGAACATTATCCCAAGGTTTCAACTTTCTAGCTTTTCTCGTTCCCGAGTTATCAGTGTTCCCGCCAAAACTTTCATTTGCTCGTACACGGGGCCCACACGTGCGTGAGAGTTGATACTGCTGTCTCGGGGTGGCACTTGGCTGAGGAACACACTTGCAAAATTTCAGCTTCAAAGTTTGCGTGGTTGGCGAGTTGAAATACCCGGACAGACGAACACTCAAACACACAGACACAAACATACATACACACACTGACAGGGTCGTTGCAATATGCGTTTTTGCTGCCTGTTGCAACGCTTTAGCGCTGCACGGCAAAAACGCATAAAAAAGGACCGAGTAAATTTGATAAATCCTGTAAACAACTTTGTGTATGCTAGCTGAACGCGGCCTGGTAACTTGCGAAGCACGGAACCGTGCAAGAAGTACTCTCGCCACCTTTTCACCTATCATGAGAATAAAGCTGTCCGACCCAGTGACGCCAATTTGCCATCAAAAGAAAAATCACACAAAAATGGATGGAGGGAATTTGAGCTCCCTGTTCAGGAACTTGCCAGAGTACTCCCCATTTCGAGGAACGGATCTAACAAGAGGAGCAGGTACCCATGGATGACTTAAGGATGACGGAGTTCTCACAAAAAAAATAATTGGCCAACGCACGGGCTGCCCGTGCGAAGATGCGTTCTTTGCATAGTTCCCCGCAGTTTTTGTCGCTACCGGCACCGGTTTTTTGGCAAATGCTTCTGGTTGAACAAATTACGACTGGCCGCCAGAACTGTCAGGAAACACCCCCCTAAAATTTCAGCTTTCTAGCTTTCCTAGCTCCTCAGTTAGCAAATTACTGGAAGAAAACTTTGACGGGCCCGTACCTGGGTACCACTCATACCCGATGTCTGGTATGAGCTCGTTGGGACTTACGTGGTCAGAGAACACCCTCTTAAACTCACAATCTTATAGCTTTTGAGATACTCGAGCTATCAACTTACCCGAAAAAAATTTGGCGGGCCCGCACGTAGGTACCACGCGTACCTGGAGGCTGGGTTTGAGCTCATTAATACCCACTTGGACGGGGAGCACACCCTTAAAATTTCAGCTTTCTAGCTTCTCACATCCTCGAATTACGAACTTACCCGAAAAAATTTTGGCGGGCCCGTACGCGGGTGAGGGCGCCCATTTCGGGGATTGGGGCAAGTACGCGCATGTAGATTAAGTTCCCAAAGTTTCAGCCCTGTAGTTTTTGTAGGTCTTGAGATGAAAAATCGGTACAGACGCACACACAGACACAAAGACACACGGAAAACTCCTCGTCAATATGCGTTTTCTGCATTGCACAGCTGTAAAAAACGCATAAAAACAAACAATTCCATTGCGGTCCAAATTTGTGCAGACTTCTCCACTCTATCATTCTGAAAGGAAATCACTGGTCCGGGCACCTCATGCTTCCTTCCACGTGTCCTAGCAACAGATTCCCTTTTGTTCAGCATCTCTAATCTTAGAATTTCTCTGACTGCCGGAGTTATCACATGAAAGTGCACAGGGACTGGCATCCGAATCGCGAAACCTGAGTACCTGGGGAAGTTCATCTTGAGGTAAGCGCTCACTTCGCCAATTTCATCGGTCTGAATGCCAATGCTATCAGCGTACTTCGAGATACTGTATCCAAATGTGGCGACTTTTGCACCAGTCCTTGACTGCACTAGTGCATGCACAAACCTATCAAGTTAAACAAAAAGTAGAAAGACGAATAGCAATCAAAACGGAATTTGATTTACGTCAATTCCAACAAAGGCCTTACCAAAACACAACATAATTTATGAAGCCTAGCAAATGTTCATCTTAGGCCTTACTTCCGGTAAAATCAAATACGAGTTGAACTTTACTATGTGTTTTTTCACTACGCAAGTTAGGAAAAAATGTTGCAGGCCTACTCCCATACAAAGAGCCACTAGTTGAAAGCTTGAAATTGTAACTTTCAGTATCCCTGCACCTACAGTCCACGGCCTTGGAAACACTTACGTGATCAGCTCATAGCATACCTTTTTTCCAGCCGATTACCAATGTTGATGGGGGGATAGCTGAGTGCTAACAGACCACATGCGTCCGAGAATCGTTGAAAAAAAAAGACAATGGTAAGACGAGAAACGAACGCCAGAAGAACCACTTAGTGAGGCATCTATCGACCACACCAACCAAGAAAACCTGGCTCGACACCA